ACTAACTTCGTCTTCTTCCTTGCGTCTTTTCTGAAATTTAACTCAAATCTTGCCCAAATCTACTCCAAATCACTTCAAATTTAAATTTTGAACTCCTTTTGATATTTTCAATCAATTGGAACAATAACCAATCCAAACAACTAACAAACTCAAAAAATCACATTTTCAAAAGCAAAACTTTGAATGGCCTTCAATGGTGGACTTCTACTCTTCAATTTACTTACATTGCAACCAGGTGACACACGTGGAGAAGCAGTAATGGCAGACGGCCCCTTGAAGCATATGTAGAAGATGTGAGAAGAAGAGAGAGTGAAAGCAATAGTTGTGAGAACAAAAATTTAATTCCATAGCTTTTAGAAGCAATGGTTGTAAGAACACAGGTTTTGAATTTTCTAGTGCTTTCAAAATATGTACAATATAGGCTAAGTCATGTAAAACTTAAAAACATGGGTCATTTTTTGTTATGTGTGTCAAGTGTATTTTCTTGTTATTCTTTTAAAAAAAAAAAAATCCCTAATACACTTTTTTATACTGATTTCTTTGAAGAGTGGTATTCGCAAATTTTAGTGTCTTGTCCAAGAGGTAGTTTTAAAATCACTCTAAATAAATTCCAATTATAGGGCATGAGAAAATTTTCTATTTTTATGATTTTTTGCTGACAAAACCCTTGTTTGCGTTGTCATGGGAAGAACAAAAGAATGATAGGAGTATGTTCATCGGAAGATCCAGGTTATTTGAGTTTCATAATTATTCAGATCACTAAGGCCGACAATAATACTGATTTTTCTATTGAAATCCTTATAAGATTCTAAGGCGAGTTCAACTATTTCAACTCTGATCGGTTGTAGTCATTAATTCGTTTATTTTCTATATATCTTGCGTATGAATGGAAAGACAAGATTTATATTTAGTATGGCGACGTGTGTATGATTAGTAGGGTGTGTGTTGAGTGTTGATTGATATTCAATTAAACTGATTCAATCCAATATTTGACACCGGACTAATACATTTATTTGGTATGGATTGTGTTAGCCCCTCGACAAAGGTCCTCGGCAGGTGTGGGTTGTGACAAGAATTTTCATGATGGCCATGACACACAACTTGAAAAATTGGACAACATCATGATGGATACTCGACATGACAGACTATGCAGGGTTGACAAACACACCTTGAACGGAGGCAAGACGCATTTCACTTAGACGTGCGGGTTGGCATAACCATGGCAAGGCAAAGCCATGTCAAGCAACGGTAAAGACATGGCAAGACAAGGCAGTGCGGGACAAGCGGTTACAACTGCCATTTCAAGCATGGCTGATTATGGGCATGTTTTAGATCATGGCTGACTTTGTGACTTAGTGCTACACGTTTTTAGCATGTTCTCCCGTCAGTTGGGGCTTGTAAACTTACTTGTCTAAATCTTGCCAAGTGTAATTGGGCAGCAGCATTATAAATATGTGCATAAGCTGTCCCAAATGGGCAGAACATAGCTTTTGTGCATTTTGTTAAGCCACAATCGTCTAAGTCATTTCCTAAGGGTGGGAAAATCGTTTTGGGGCAGGGAATTAGGGAATTCTTTGTCTTGATCATAGGGTTGGCTATTGTGTTCTTGTATTCACATATTAATACGAGTTGACAAGAAAACCTGTATATCGTGTGTGCCCTTATTTACTGTTTTTGCTGCCTAAATCTTTCTAAGTTCAAAACGTCCCTAAAATAAAACTAAGTGTTGGAAAGACTGACGTCAAGGCTGGGCTTGATTGCCGCACGGAGATGAACCTCGGGCAGAATTCGAGTGACATAAATCACCCTTGCGACAGATTGTATTGTGAAATATAAAGTGACAAGTACTTATTAAAATTCGTTCTAATAAGTGAATGTATTAAATTTAATTTGATTGCCACAGAGTTAATTGTTAAAGAGATCGTTAGCAAGTTAAAGATGAACTCCAGAACAACAACATGAAATAATGTATGTAATACCATTATTATTGTATGTTATATATATGAACAAAGGATTTTGCAGGTTTCGCCTCCTTTATGGAATTGCGATGAGTTGCCCTACCACGTCTGCTGATGCTTCATTTGTTGCATGCTCATACATTATCGTTGTAAATTGAGATGGGAAGAGCAGACGGTTTTGTTTTGTGAGAATTTGAGCAAAGCAAGAAGCCAAGGAAGCTAATAAGTATTTTGACTAGTATGTCATGGATAGTTGTCGATTTACTTATGAGTATATAATTTCCTCCTACTTTTCGTTTGTTTTGTTTTTCCTGCTATTGAGTCTCTTTAATTGCTCCTTATATGCATATAAATCCTGATGCATAATGTATATGGTAACCTTCCCAGAACTCAGTATATTGTGTTTCAGCTCCCAAGAAAAATCTGGTTATGACAAGTAAAGCAAAAACCCTTACATATATTCCTATGCTTCCTATACTTCCTTCCCCCTTAACTTCCTACTGTTACTACTATCTATTACATTGGGTAGTAGTCCAGTTTGCTTAGAGCTTTCTCTACTTCTTTGTTGCTTCGACAATGCACTTCTTGTACTATCAGCTTGCCAATTATCTCCCAGCTCCTCGCTTTATCTTGAAATATTCTAACATTCCTTTCTTGCCACACATAATAAACACATCCTACTAGTACCATCTTGAATAGTTCTGTTCGTGCATTCCTTCTTCTTGTCCAGTTTTCTGCCCATTGTAATTCCTCTGACCATCCATATATGCTTTTGCTAATACCTTGCCATTTAAGCATTCTCTTTCATATCTTCGCTGCATATTGGCACTCAAAAAATAGATGTTGAATAGACTCATTTGCCTTTTTGCACAACAGACATACTTGATCTGTTTGAATTCCCCACTTTAACAGCCTATCCTTAGTGTACAATCTACCATTTGCCGCCAGAGTTAGCATGAATATCCACCTAGGACACCCTGCATTGTTACATACCAGTCTCCTTCAGCTCACTTTGCTAAAGTCACCTCACAGTTTATGGTATATGTGCTTAATAGAACAGTCATGCATCTGCCTTATATCTTCATAGTTGTATCCTGCAACCTCAAAAATTTCTTTAGCTTTCACTATATTTCTCATGACCCACGATGGTTGGTTCAATTGTACTTCCCAGATATGTTTATCCTTTATGTAATAGCAGTGTACCCATTGTATCCATAGCTTGTTCTTCTCTTTGCATAGGTTCCCGAATTGCTTGCTTATAACTGCTTTGTTCCATAAGCTAATATTCATTACATTAAAACCTCATGCTGATCTAGGTTGGCAAATTTTCTCCAAGCTAGTAGTGCTTTCTTTGAAGCATTGTTGTCCCCTGTCCATAAGAAGCTTCTTCAGATTGCCTCAATTAGTTTTGTAATCTTCTTTGGCGGCATGAATATCTGAGCCCAGTAGGTTTGGATGGAAAACAGAACACTCTTAATGAGTTGAAGCCTCCCTTCATATGACAATAGCTTGGCTGTCCAGGATGTAATTCTGCCCACTAGTTTGTCTATTAGAGGTTGACATTGAACTAGTGAGACTCTTTTAGAGCTTAATGGTACTCCCAAGTATCTCACTGGTAACTCTCCTTTGTGAATGCCCAGGAACTCTAGTATATCTACTTGCATATCATGTGAAACACCACCAAAGAATATAGAGCTTTTCTTCTTGTTGATCTCCAGTCCTGAAGCTTTTGAGAACTCCATAAAGCAATTGTATAGCAGCTTAATTGATCCAATGTCACTCCTGCAAAACAACAAAAGGTTATCTGCAAATCCAAGCTGCAATATTTGCATCTTTGCACTTAGGATGATAGTTGAAATCTGGAATCTGATTCAAAGTCTTCAGGCTTCTTGTGAGATACTCCATTGCCAGTACAAAGAGGAATGGGGATAGTGGATCTCCTTGCCTAAGCCCTTTCCTAGCTTCAAAAGGCTGAGTTGATGAACCATTCAACATGATTGTATATGTAACACTCTACACACATATCATTATCCATTTTACAAGCTGCTCTGGGAAAGCCAGTGCACTCAAAACCTGTTCTAAGAATGACCATTCAATTGAGTCATATGCCTTCTGCATATCCAATTTCATCATGCATCTAGGTGAAACCCTTTTCTTCCATAGCTTTTAACTAATTCATGGCTTAGAATGATGTTATCAACAATTACTCTTCCAGGTACAAAAGCAGACTGAGTCTTGTCAATTAGGTCATCCATAACTCCTTGTAACCTCTTAGTCAATACTTTAGATATAACTTTATATAGTGTGGTGCAACATGAAATTGGTCTATATTCCTTAATGCTAGCAGGATTTCTAACTTTAGGGATCAGAGTGATTGAAGTACAGTTGATAGGCTTAAACATCAGTGATGTCTCAAAGAAATTCAGCACAACCTGTGTTACCTCCTCTCTTATGATATGTCATGACTTCTTGAAAAAAACTGCATTCAGCCCATCATATCCTGGAGCCTTTAGATCATTGATGTCTTTTAGAGCTTGCCACACCTCTTGTCTGGTCACTGGTTGAATCAGTTTAACTTGCTGATCTCTATTTAGCATTGTCCCTCTCTTCATTACATTTGGGTCAATAGCTGGAATTGCAGGAGCATTTGACCATAGCAGTAGTTTATAGTAGCCAAGTACTTCTGCCTTAATGTCCTCCTCCATATGTAGTTGCACCCCCAGTTCATTTGTGAGAGCATGAATGCCATTCAAATTATTTATGTTCTTCATTTGAGCAAAGAAGTATGCAGAGTTAGTGTCACCCAATTTCAACCACTGAACTCTTGACCTTTGCCTATATATACTTTCCTCTATCAGTATTCATTTCTCTAGTTTACTCTTTAGTTCCTTTTCTTCCTCAATTAATTCTATATTCAGCAGTCTGCAACTCATTTTCTCTTGAACTTCCTGCAGCTCCCTTCTGGTTTCTTTGATTTTGTCCTCAACACCTTTATAGTGTTGAGTGTTAAGCCCTTTAATTACTTGCTTAACTCTTCTTAGTTTATTCCACTCCCTGCATTTTTTCATCTTTCCTAGTTGTGTTCCATGCTTGATTAACTTCTTGCATAAATTGAGGATGCTCAGCAATGCAATTGAAAAATCTGAATGGGCTGGCTTTCTTCCTCTGCATTTGTGAGATCATAAGTTTAAGTGGGGAGTGGGCAGAGACAGATGGTTCTAATACTTGTATACTCAGGCTAGGCATTGTCATCATCCAGCTAATGTTCACCAATCTTCTATCTATTCTGCTATATGTATGGTTATTTATCCATGTGTAGCCCCTTCCCACAGAAGGCAATTCGTTCATTCCTGTGTCATTCATGAACTCCCTAAAGTCCTTTGTTTCCATATCTTGTATCACAGTCCCATGCTGCCTATCTTGGCTAAAGACTACATTGAAATCTCTCATTGCTAGCCATGGTCCTTGTTGCAAACTATGTATTTGTCTCAACTTCTGCAACATTCTCAACCTATCTTTTATAGTATGCAAATCATATATTGTTGTGAATCCAAATGTATTAGCTTTGAATGTGTTCTGATCTGCCCATGTATGATTTGTTCATCTATATCAGTTGGCTCAAAATAAAAAATCCTTGGATCCCGTATTACCCAAATTCTGCTCTTATTGTTGTTACTGAAATTTGATATCCACAGCCAACCAGGAGCAATTTTCTTGATTATACTACTAGCTTTCTGTTCTTTTATTCTGTGTTCAACTAAGGCTATTACTGCCTTTTTATTCTGCTTTATGAACTCCTTTATCTCCTTTTGCTTGTATGTTTTATTTAACCCTCTAGCATTCTATGTAACCACACGTATACTGGTATAAATTGAGTATCCTGATACAGCTCCTGCACCCCATAGCTTCTCATCTGCATACTACTTGTTCCTGGTATATTTATTGCTTGATCACTCCCTAAGGATTGAAAGCCTTTACTTCCAGCTAGTGTCTGTTCTTCAGCTTGCTTTGCTTTGGCCATTCTTGCTGCTGATTTGCCACTAATTGTTATCCACCCTACTTCTTCAAGTTGCTTAACAATTGCAACATGCACTGGCCCATTCTTTGGTGGTTTTATTGTTTCATTCCTCTTTGTTTGATCCTTCTCCTGCTTATTGTCTTTGGCTCCATCTCTGTCAGTCATCTGCCAAACTTGTTTGCCTTTGTTTTCTCTCCCTCGATATACTATCTTCTGTGGTTGTTGGACTATGTTGTCATTGAAATTATGCCATATCTTCATACATTTGTTGCAGTAAGTTGGTTCCCAATCATAGCATATCTCTTGCTCAATTGTGTTGCCCATTGGATCCTGCATCTTCACTCTTCTAGGCAGGGGTTTGGTGATGTCCATCTCAATTAACATTCTCACATAAGAAATCCTAACTGAACCAGTTGTATAATCATTAGCATACACTGGATTTCCCAATGCACTCCTTATCTTGCTTAATGCCTCCATACTCCAGCAATTGAGTGGAAGATTTGGAAACCTTACCCACAAAGGAATGGTTCTCAAGACTTCATCGTGCAGATTGAAGTCTAGTGTCCAAGCTTTCATTACAATGGGTCGATTATTGGCAGTATGAGGCCCAGTATATAACACTTGGTCCCTTTCTTCCAAATTAGTAAACCTAGTCACAAAATAACCTTCATTATGATAATAGATTTGAGGTTTGGTAGAGAATTTACCCACTGAATTGATGAATCTTTCCATTGCTCCTATGGTAGGTGAATCTCCAATTACATACAGCACTATTGCTAAGCTCCATTTTGCATTTTCCTGCTCAACATCCTTGAGATCTAGCTTCACAATTTTCTCCCCATCTTGAATCATCGGTGCCCATGATTGATTCCCCTTTACCTACTCAATTTGATCAGTACCTCTGAGAATTTCTACAGTATCAGCTTTGCATGGTACTGTTTCATTGCTATTTGGCTTCGTCAACTGTATCTGAGCCTTTCCGCTCCCAAATCCACATCCTATACCACTAACAGCTGTAGGTGTAGCTATCACTGCTTTCATCTTGCCATTTTTACTTGCTGGATCTGATTCCATCTTACTTTGTTCACTTTGCATGCTCTCGGAGTAACGTTGCATTTGGTTCTTCAATTCTCACCCCTTTTGGTGAGACAAACAACTCCATTACTGCATTCCTTGCATCTGCTGATCTCTGATCAATGGCCGAAATCTTCATAAGGTTCCGCTTAGGTCGTCCTCTTCCTCCCATGGCTTCCAACTGCGTACGTTAGCAGGTCCACGTTAACGTGCGCCGAGAGAAAACTTGATAAACATGATTTTATTTGGTTTTTGTTTTATTGTGTGCTGTTTTTTTCCACTTTAGAATAGTTTGGAGTAGTAATATTACCACGTAAAGAAAATATGTATAGTTGGAACTTCAATCATAGGTTGAAGGGGTACTTATGTCTTTTCCCAAGAAAAAAACTTAATAGATCGTCTAATATTCAGGATTTGAAGTAATACTAATAGAATTTTCTAATACAAATCCCACTTGTACAATAACATTGCAAAGCTGACTGAATTGGTATAAATTTTCAACTCTAATTCCAAGTCATTCTCTTGAAACAAATAAAATGTTCTTCAAATAATAATAAATGAGTAAATAATTTGAGATAAATATATGATGACTTATGTCGAGCAATATTTATTCCCTTATAAACCTAGCCAAATAGAATCAATATTCTATTATTTTTAGAAATTTACACTATTTTCTTTAACTTTTATTTATAATTCAAGATACAATTGTTAATCGTAATATCTATGTTATTTTTTTAAAATATTTTCTCTCATTAATATTGAATGCACGCTCATTACGCGTTGCGGCATTCACACACGTTACTATGTTACATTGTTGCTAACATTCTTTGCTACTTGGTGCTTTATTTTTATTATTTCTTGAGCCGAAGGTCTATCGGAAATAACTTCTCTATCTCTATGGGGTAGGGGTATAATCTGCGTACACACTAACCTCCCCAAACCCCATTTATGAAATCAAACTGGGTTTGTTGTTGCACATGCAAAATAGACTAGTACTACGATATGTTTGAAGGGAATATTTCCCACTGCAGTCTAAGTAACACTTAAAAAGCCACAATCTTTTTTTTACATAGATGAGATGATGCATATGAAATGCATGTCAATTGTCAAATGGTGCAATTCATGAAGTGAGTCTTCCCAAACGGAAAAAACGCTTAGAGAATACTTTGAACTCTATTGTGGGGCAACACTAGACAACACCGCTGATGCGATTAATTGATTCTTTACTGGAGCTATGTTTCTAGGACATCTGATGTAAAATAGGAGCACAAAATAGACAGGTCAAATCAACAAACTGACAAACTAAGCTAACGTATGATTGGATAAATATGAGCCACTCAATTTGGACTAAACAGTAGATTACAACTAAATCCATCCACCTCAATATCATTTTAGCTGTTTGCTCTTTTTATAAATTATTTAATTACCAAACTATAATGTACTAGGATTATAATCTAATAAGATAGAGATGACTACGGCTGTTCAAAACCGAACAGTAGCCGTTAATCGAACCGAAAAAACAGCTTATTGATATCGGATTATCGGGATAACGGTTGGTGAAGGATTGAGATTTTATGATTAACGACAACGGTTTGGGGGCGAATTACTCAATTTCCTTATCAGATAAACCGTTAACCCGTTAAGAATTTTTATATTTATACTTTTACCCATATTTATATAAAGTAATTTAACCCTTAAGGCCTAAAATAGTAAAATCTAAATCTCTAATTTATCATATCTAAATCCCTCCTGCACCTACCGTCAGTCCACTCTCTGTTTACTAATGCACTATGTGTATAATTCTTTTGTGGTGAAGAACAAAAGAAAGGGTACTAAACCTGGCATTCTAAGAGAGTGGCCGTGGGCACGGCTTGGGAATTCAAGAAAGAGGCTAAGCAACCAAAAGAACTAGGGTTCAAAAAAATTCTATTTGATTTAGCCGATAAACCGCCCCATAATCGTTAATCCGATACCAATCCGCCTGATGTTTTATTCGATGGCTTGCGGATTACTACATTTATAATCCAATAACCGATAAGCCGAACCGTTAAGCGTAATAATCCGCCCGATAAGCACCCCTAGAGATGACAGATTTATGAATATACGCCCAGTACCCCAGCCAAGTTTGAGCGGAATATATTTTCATGGGCAAATATTTAACACCTAATGCAAACCCCACCAACATAGAATTTTTTTCCCTCAATGGTAGATCAATGTGATACGACAATCTAATGAGCAATAAGACAATGCTCATGTTCAACTTACCTTCGGGAAGACACTCCTAATCAACAGATTCTCCCATATTGTTTTGGGAGAAAACCAAAGATCCTAGACCATGGACCTTGATGTATGCAACCTGGACATGTTACTCCGGCTACACCGAATACATTTGAAACACAATAAAAGACCAGGATAAAAACAGGCTGCATCTGGTTTTTTTTTAATTACCACCTAACAAAAATGGATGTCAACAACCCATCTAACATTGGTGCAGCAATACCAGAAGAAATCCTATTGAACATTAACCAAATCAACCTCAATAACATCCAGACAGAACGAGCTGGTAGACACCTGATGAAACTCGACAAGAATCCATAAGGACCACAAGGTACCAATTTCAGTTAGTACAACTTTGACACCACATTTAAGGCACAGTAACTTGACAACCGCTGCAACAGGAAGGTGACATTACTGACTTTCAGACACCCACACTGAGCAATGCTGGACGACAACTCTGGACCTTCTCAACCCTTAAACAAGCCCTAGTACTCACTGGAACAGTAGACAACCAAATTAATAGATGCTAATGAACACAAAAAGAAAAGGATAAAGTAAACAAGAAGAACAAGCAGGAAGTATCAGAAATAGGAGAATAAGAGAGAAGACTAGACAAAATAGTTCCCTTTTGGAGGCTAGCAGGTATACTTCCTACAGAGATTTTCAAAGCTACAAAGTTTCTTGAGCATAATATACATAAACTGTACAAGGAATACATAGATGATTCACAACTTATAGACAACTTTAGGCAACAAATAATCATACAAATCAAGTGTATCACACAACAGACCTGATCATTCTCATCATCTGATTGTGAAGGAGACTTTTTGGACTCAGATGGTTTCTCCGCACCGCAATTCTGTCTGTTACACTTGGTCCGAAAAGGATAATTTATGTTGTTGCATTTCTCACATTTCCAGCTTCCCTCTGGTGTTTCTGGCTCTGAAATTTGGGGTTGTTAGAAAGCTAATTAGAATTAGTAAAAGATAGCATGCTAGAGGCCGAAAACTTACTAGTATTCTTTCCTGATTTGGAAACCTGTGTAATTGCAAATAAAGATAGTCAACAAAAAATCAAAATG